GCGGTTCATCGAAGGAGGTAGCCCGTATGTATCAGATCACCCATTTATATATCTGTATTTTTATATCACCATTCGGTTGTTTCATTCGCCTCGTGTCACATTATCTATAACTCTTTCAGTTGTAAAGAAGAACCCTTCCCTTCTTCTGCTGTCTTTCTTAGGATGTAAAACAAAGTTGGGACATTGCGCTGTTTATGTTAGCCTTACCTTTGTCCTTGTTACCTTTTTTTTTTTTGCAGCTACGTCCTGAAGAATGAGAAAGCTGATGTATACCGTTTACCATATTTATCAAGCGGAGCCCCTGGATTTGGTGAGTTACTACTTTCCAACTCAAGTTCAATAAATTAAAACTCTTTTGGAGTGAGTCCAAGTTTTCAGAATCGATGGGGGATAAATAGTAAACACAATCAAGGACAGTTCCCACGAGAGGAAATTGATTCATGCGTTGAACACAGCTTTTTTCAAGTAGCAATTCTTTCATGAAATTCTAAGTACCCTGTTTTGGGAATTTAGCATTGCTCGAGGCTGCAAAAAAGATAAACTTCAGAGACACCTTGAGCCAAATTGCTGACGGATTTGCATCAGGAAGGTCGGCAGTCGTTTCCTCTACCATTTTAGATATGTAGATTCATTGGCTGATATCACTGGCTTTACCCCCCAGTTTCTGCCTTGTGGTGGGTTGGTTCTAAAATTCGGCTTCCTTCCTTCACAGCTGGGATAAACCAGTGCTTTTGGCTTGGGGAATAGCGGACAAATACCTCCCTCAATCTATAGCAGAAGAGTTTCAGAAACGAAACTCTGATGCTGTCAAGGTTAAACTCTTAGAAGGCGCTGGGCATATGCCTCAGGAAGACTGGTATTGTTTTTTTTTTGGTCCCTTGAACAGCTCATTTACTTGCCTATTGAACCATTTTTTTCTGATCATTTCTGCATATTGAACCATTGTCCACAGGCCAGAGAAAGTAGTTGATGCCCTTCGAAGGTTCTTCTAACTTCCACATTCATCAAATGAGGTAAAGAAATGGACTAAATAACTAGAAACAGTTGCATCATACATATGATTAAGGGCAGTCTAGACTTTGTTACTCACAAAAAAAAACATAAGGATATTTAATGCATCTGACAATATTCTTACAAAACCTGGCTTAGGAATTAGCATCTGGGCAGTGGCTACCCACAAAAACATGTAGGAAGGCTAGGAGCTGTCTGCGTCTTAACTCCTTCCCTTGGGCTTCTTCTTACTAGTTTTTGCAGGAGCTTTCTGTTGGGTTGCCTTGCCTGCTCTCGCTCGCTTTCTTGGTTTCTTGTTTCCACCATCATCATCATCATCATCATCATCATCACCATCATCATCTGTTCCAGAATCATCAACATCCGCATTGCTGTCTTCAGATTTTCTCTTTCCTGTTGCCTTCATGCCGCGACCTCTGGGTGCCACCACACTTTTCTTTGGTTTGGCATCATTCTCTTCCACCTCGCCATCATCCTCATCATCACTCTCTTTGGGTTTTCTCTTTCCAGCAAGCCTCTTACCACGCCCTCTAGGTTTCTGCCCTTTCTTCAATTTAGCACCACCATCTTCACCCTCTTTTTCTTGTTCATCTTCCTCTTCATCTTCATCTTCATCTTCATTGCCTTCTTTAGATTTAGCACCATTTTTTGCTGCTTTGACCTTTGCTGCTTTTGCCACATCTTTCCCAGAAAGCTTTTGCAGCTCGGGCACATAGGCTGTTGTCTATCAAAGAAAGATACACAGATCTATTTAGTTCATGATGTCCATCCTCCATAAAGAACAGAGTCTATTAAGCAATGCATAGGTCACATGAACATACCCTGCCACCTGCAGTTATGAACTCAACCTTCTTCCCTGCCATAGGAAATAGACTCCCATCAATATCCCCATAAAAGTAGTACCCACATGATACAACACCAACCAATGAACAAGAAAATAATTCTAGAAACCGAAAAACACAAGAAAAATGTGTCAAGGGCGATAGTTAGCCCTGCCAAAGATCAACGGATCAGATCTTGGCAAGGTCACAGTAGATAATACGGAAGGTGAGGATCCGAACCATCAATAAAAGCCTTTCCTGGCTTCATTTCTCTGACATGAAAAATCCAGTTACTAGGAAACTGGCTACTGTCAGCCCCGACTTCCACTGCCCTTTCTATCACCTGAAAAAAAATCCAATCACTTCTGTCAAAATCGTTCATAGATCGAGGGATATATCTTACCATCAACTTTCCCGGGTTTTCGTCCCCACCGAAAATGAAACAACCATTTTTGAGGAAACTCTTTGCTATTAGCATTGACTTGAACTGCATGCTGAATGACCTACAAATGCATTTTCCTCCAAATTCCATTACATGTTTTTAGATTTACAGAACATTGTTCCTTTATCTGGTAACGTAATTTTCTTGCGGGTGTTAAAGTATCTCACCTCCTTGATGGATTTGTGTAAAGCAGCACATTGTTCGTTGGACATACTGGAAGAGGTCTGAAGAGGGTGGATTCTTGCCTGCCAGAAACAACAGCAAAGTCAATCATGCGGCATACGGTACAATTTCTCGAGAAAGTTGGATTTTTCAACTGTAAAAAGTAACGATCTGGAACAGAAGTAGATATTATGAACCACCCTCTGGTTCGTACAGATGATTCGGATGAGAAATGAGAATATCTTAGGGTTTTTTTTTTCATAATCGGAGTAAGAGTTAGATACTTGCTTACTTGGTAAAGCACTTCATCAGCAATCCAGTTTCCAATACCTGAAATGAAATTCTGCAAAAGAGAAAGAAGTGAAATTCTCAATCATAATTGTTCCGGAAGTTCAGATATTTACCGAACACTTCTAATTGAAAGATATAGTTTAACCAGTAAAAATTTCATTGCATCCTAAAACAACATCATTTGTAATTTAAAGAGCAAAAATTTAAAAACAAAGAGAACAAATTTTTGCTCCATCGTAAAACCACATATTTGTAGTATCATGATGTCAAACACTAATTACATCCACATAGAGCAATACAACAACCTGCCATTTTCGGAGAAGAAAAAAAAAACATTGCTACCATTTTCGTATTAGAGAAAGGGAAACGAACGGATTACACTTCAAATTCTACAAGGAAATACTGAAACTACAGACCTTATTGCAGTACAGCTTAAAAAATTTTCAGAGCCGTTAAATATTGTCTAAAAAATGTTCTGCAACTTCATCAATGCATATGCATAAGATGCATCGAATGGAAAATGGTTGAAGAAGATAAAAACAATTTTAACCTGATCAAGTAAGAGAGGTTTGATGGCTATCTTCTTCTTAGCGAAGCTTTCTGCAAGTTCATCAACTGTCATAGGCTCCAACAATGCATCAGGGCCAAGCTCTGAAATTGGCGGTACAGAAGCAGGCTGCAGGTTCAACATTATTCAACCGTCACTAAACACCTGACAAAGAAGATCAGCAAGCGACGTAAAGACATATACTGATGTAAGATACATTTTCTAGCAGCCGAACTTTGGCAAATCTCCTCTTGTCCGTGAAAGAAAGCTCCAGGCCATCATCAAGCTGTTAAAAAGAAACTAATGTAGCACCCGTAAATGTCCATAAAGCTCACAGCTTTCGAGCCATGGCAATAAAAGAAAATTCGGAATTTCCCTTCAGCTACTCTTTGATGTTCTTAGTTCTTACCTCCACGAAAAACTTAGAATATTTGGATGGCCATTCCTCTGTGTCCTTGACAGCAGACCTATATAAACAATCATTGATTTTGTCTTAAGATTCTGGAAGACAATCAGAGAAAACACTATAAAAGAACTTAGGAATTCAAGTTTCTCAGCCTTCAAACACCATTCCTATACACAAATCGATATGACATCCTGATGCATACGATGTGCCTCACCTCTTATACTCTGTAATTGAGACGCCTTTTATATAGATAGCACCAGCCATACCTGAAGCACATTAAACCAAAACAATGCATAGACTCAAACCATCATCTCCAAATGACCATCTTCTCGTTTACCAAGTGAAATAAAGTAAACATTTTTACTCTATCCATGCATCAAAACTCAGATAAGCAGAGGTTGAACACCCAAAACTCGTGCATGTGATGAATGCCCATCTTCTATTCTCTCTTCCATTTTACACCAAGCCAACGCAATGTGACAATATATATACTTTCGACTCCACAAAAATTCATCAACGAAGGCAAGAAAGAAGGTAACCCTAGATTGATCCCGATACTATAAACCCAACGCCGTCTTGTCAGGGTGAAAGACGTACCGAACTGGAATGAGGGAAACGGGGGGGAATCGAGCTCGAGCCAGAGGTTCTTTCCCTTCCTACGAGCAGAGACGATGGTTTTGCCGAGGATCGACGTTTCGAATTCCGACGGGGAGATTCCGTCGATCACCTTATTGTCGGCGGCGATGATGGATCGCTTGATCTTCTTCCCCAAGCAGTTGTCCTCAATGGCCCTCCTCGCGGCCTCCACCTCCGGAAGCTCCGGCATGTTTCCGGTCGTCGACTTTAGGGTTTGCTCAAAGCTCTCTTTGGTTCTCCTTCGCGCGCTTTTCAAGGGTAAAAGTGAATGGAATGTCCGGCGATTAAACTCCGCTAGTGGATTTTTCTCATTTTGCAACCTTCAGCGTACTTTAACATGAAGCCACACCGATCCAGAAAAATATTTTGTAAAACTATATGAATAAAGTAAAATAGGCAAACGAATGATAACTTTTTATGTTCTATTTGGGTATATGTTATCAATGGATGTATTTAAAAGTTGAAAGGGTTTTTTTTAATGTCTTTTAAGATAATAATATTGTGAACACGTGAATAATTGAAATTTTAAATATATATTTTTAAAAAAATTGAGATGAATTTTTAGATACTTTCTCAAAAAAAACAAAATAAGAATTAAGTTTTAGAATAAAAATTCTATAGTTTTTGGTATCGATAGTAAAACCATATATTCGTAGCACAATCCAATTTAGGAACAATTTTGGTTTCCTTCAAATTCGAATTATTCAATTATCCGATATCAATTACATATCCAAAGGTAATTTCGGCCGTACTCAAGTTCGAACCATCTTGTTAGAACTTCTAGGTCTATTGTCCACAATATAAGTCCAACCCATGTATATACACACACTCATGTCAAACGGGCTTATACCCATGTATTTCTGGGCCGGGGCCGGGGCCGGGGGCGGGCCTATGCCTGGGCCTGATGTATGACGGTAACATTAAAATATGATGTTGTCATCATTGCATTTGCTAAATACCAAATTAATGCTTACATAATCCGGATGTCCATCAAGGACACATAATTCATTTCCAAACGACAAACTATATGCAATTTTGGATTAATCCAGACAGCTGTATATACTCCAATTACATAATGAGACTCTGTAAAGTATAGAATATCCTCTCGGCGTGAAACGAATCTTCACATCTTTCTTTTTTCTTTTTTTCTACTGCATCTTTTCTCGAAATAGAAGTATTACACATTATTCACTCTTAGAAATATAGATTACAAGGAAAATAATATAAACTTTGCAAAGGCGTTTTTCTATATAAATCAATGTCAGCAAATTCTGGTAGATAAATATAAACAAAACCCAATTATTAGAGGCGACAAAGCCGTCCCCACAAAGGTCAAATGCAATAAAAGAGGCATTGGGAATCCAAAGTCTAAGTCAATGGTCTAATTATAAAGATAGTTACGGACCACCAGCCTCACATAATTTAATTGGAACTCTAACCTATGAGGGAATCATAATCTATAAATCAAATTGCACCGAAAAGATTCAATTCTCAATAAAATAATGGCAACTCGGACTACGATATAAAAATAAAAAAAAAAGCTGGAAACTAGGAATTTCAAAATGCAATAACCACAAAAGAATAACATGAGCCACACGCAACAAAGCGTTCGACTAGAACAAATTTCGATAAGAATCTGGGAAGATAATATCACCAATAAAATGACGAGGAAGAGCTATTGAGTTTGTTTTCACTTAGGGTCTCATGCATTTGGTTAGAACGTCTACGAATCTCTTGTACATGTGGCGTTTCATGAACATTCTCTCGACTTTTTCGCGCCCTTGGTTTCCCATTCGTAGTCTAGTGGAAGGGTTTCTAAGTAAAGACAGAAGATTCTGAGAGAAAACTTTGTTACCTGGACGACGGCCAACCGGGTGAAGAAGCCCCGTAACGTTGTGTTCCACTATCTCCTTTGTCCCTCCCGCGTCTGTTCCCAGTACCTGTGACGTCAAAACGGAATTTAAAAAGAAAAATCCAACGCTGTATAGCTACGAGGATGAATCTTTCATTCTGTCTGGATAATGCCATTGCGGATATTGCTTACGGGAAGATTATAGGCCATTGCTTCGATCGTCACTCTCCCGAATGTTTCCCCGATTCCCTAATTGAACCGAAACGAAAATCTCAGGAAGATTAGACGAAAAGTTTCGGCCGGGTTATTGAGAGGGAGGGATTATATTTATCACCTGTGAGTTTATGACATAGACATCGGCTGCAGAGTACAGCGATGCGACACGAGTAGTTGCCGGAGTCCACAGCACTGAATCCGATAAGTTGCCATTGCTTGACAAGAAGCTTAAGATCTCTTTTATGTAAGGAACTTTGTTGCTCTTCGACCCGACTGATCCTATCAGAATTTTGAGGTCTTGCTTCCTTGTTGTGTTTCCAGAAATCTTTCTGCCTGTGATGTTACTCTCCACGGGAGAGAGAGACCTACTGCTCAGCTTCCGAGATGAACCTCTTAACCGATGTCTTGCAGCGAGATTAATCTTTGCTTTCCTGGCTCCTTTGAGAATCTTTATTTTTGACTGATTCCTTTTTGCCTCTTCTTCTTGTTGTTGTGATTTTACAAGGGCCAACGAGGCGGATTCAAGGAGAAGAAGTTGTCCCTTCCCGGGGTTTATGCTGCTAAGAGACATCACAAGCATATCCGTTTCTTTCAAACCTAACTCCGCCCTAACAGATTCCCGTAATAGCTGTCTCTTCTCCTTCATCTTCGCCGGCGTAACTGTTGGAGTGTTTAGTGAACAGTGAATCCCAGCTACAAAAGCCAATTCGTCGTTAACAGATAGCGGAACAATAACCGGCTGAGACCTAAGCTTTATGTGTTCCTCCTCACACCATGCTAACCATTGTTTGCCTTGTGATTCGGATATAAAAATCAGCATTTTCACTCGGTCAAGCACAGGTCTCGCTCGGTCAAAGTATTCTCGCCGATTCTCCATTATCCACCAAGCGATCTGGCTCCCTCCAGCTGGAAAATGCTCGATGTATTGATCTATGAGAAAATAGTAAACAAGTACAAACACAAGTTAGGCTCAGCGTAGAATTCTAGGCGACTGAGAACAACTTCCCACGAGGGAGGCAGAGAAGGCAAGGATGATATGATTGGTAAAAGAAACTGAACACATGGATCATTTATCAAATGATCTGATGAGCAATTACCATGTATTCAGTTCATACGTTAAGTAATCTAAAAAGAGTATTGTCTTAGATGAAAACTTTAACAACAATTTGCAACTTCCAGGGATATCAGATGAAGGACATTCAATTATCAAACGGTCTATAATATGAATGTAAATTTTTATCATTGTGTAAACTGAGATGTCAAAGTTTCAGCGTATATAAATTTATCGCCTGTGAAGCCTTACCTATCCATGATGCGCAAACTGCTGATCCTGGAATGACGAGATCTGCTTTCATGGCAGTTTTGAAACTGAGGTCTGCTTTGTCTTCTATTACTTTAATCCTTCTCCTGGTGAGCTCTTGCATCAAGCCACCCTTCCTGCTGAGAAATGAGAATATCTTAGG